GTGGATCAAGACCTGGGAACAGCCCAACCTGCCCCGCGACTTTGAAGGAAGTTACCAAAGACTTCTTGAACATTACTTTGGTGCTCATCCTCTCTACAACGAACAGACTTTCAGGCGCCATTTTCGAATGGGGCAGCCGCTTTTCCTGAAAATTGCCGAAGCTGTTGAAGAATTCGACAAATACTTTACTCTCAGACGAGATGCGTTGGGAAAATTAGGCCTGAGGCCCCTTGTGAAAATCACTGCGGCTTTACGAATGCTCGCCCATGGAGCTGCTGCCGACTGCAACGACGAGTACCTTCAGCTCTCCGAATCAACATCGCTCGAGTGTATGGATCGATTTTGCAAGGCAATTGTGGCTATCTACTCAGCCGAATACCTTTGACACCCAACCCCAGCCGATCTAGAAAGGCTTCTCACCCAGGGTGCCAAAAGAGGATTCCCTGGGATGCTTGGATCACTTGATTGTATGCACTGGGTGTGGAAGAACTGCCCATCTGGTTGGGCTGGACAGTTCCAAGGCAAAGAAAAGGTAATTTTTATGTAGACACTCTAATCTATCTCTGATCCTCTTACTAAAGGCTTGCTTTGTGATGCTTTCCAGAGGCCAACCGTCATTCTCGAAGCTGTAGCATCCCAAGATATGTGGATCTGGCATGCCTACTTTGGCATGCCTGGTTCACACAACGACATAAACGTACTCGACACTTCACCTCTCTTCGCAAATCTATTGAATGGTCAGGCACCACGATGTGAATACACGATCAACGGGCATGACTATCAGCAAGGGTACTATCTTACCGACGGAATCTATCCCGATTGGGCGACCTTTGTCAAATCGATGTCGCAGCCTCAAGGAGCGGAGCAGAGGCACTTTGTCAAGATGCAAGAGGCCCGACGGAAGGACGTGGAGCGTGCTTTTGGTGTACTTCAAGCCAGATTTGCGGTAGTTTCTCGACCGGCCCAAGGCTGGAAGCATCACAATCTGAATTATATCATGAAGGCATGTATTATCCTCCACAACATGATTGTGGAGGATGAACGGGATTCATACTTGGAATATACATACGACCACGCCCCTGCAGCCATCATTACACCCATAGAAATATCGCGCGATGAACCACCGATTTCTTTTTCTGATTTTATTGACAACTATCAATCAATGAAAGACACTGGTACTCATTTTCAGTTGCGCGCCAATCTCATCAAACATCAGTGAGAGATTAAAGGTCGCCAGGAAGACAGTGATGTTGATTCTTAATTGTACACGTAGTTTATCATCAGTATTTTGCTAGCTGTGCTCACATGTTTGTTTCATTCTTTCATTCCGATTATAAACTGAAATCCCATATTAATCCTATTGACCTTGAGAGATAACAACAAGACTATGTCTTGACTTAAAGAATATTTTGATTCTATTGATCTTGAGAGCTTTGAGAGATAAGACCAGGCCACACCGTTTGGAACTAGATTGAAGAGTGGATTTGATGCTCTCTGACACAATCGACTGATTCATTGTTTTTTGTTCTTAGGAAAATAGTTGTATCTTTCAAATAAATAATTGATTATATTAGATCTGAAAGTGATAAGGAGGCAGTTCAAAACAGAAAATTGTATTTTATTGAAAGGGATCGCATGAACAATTGAGATAGATAACAAAAAACACTCTGTTTGAATTGCTGATAACAAAAAACCGTGTATTAATCAAGTGAGAAAAAAAAACAAGAATACAACTACTGGTTTGAGGTGGAGCCAGATCAAAGAGATTGGAGGATTTGAGCCCTCTTGAGCTTAAAGTACTCCTGCTGCTCATCATCAAGACCATTGAGGCTCTGGGTCATGATGGTGAGCTCTGCAGCAGTTTCTCCATTGTCAGCCATCAATTTGAGGGATTGCAAGTCATTGGTGAAGATGTCTTTTAGTCGAGTCGATTCAGTAGCAAGTTTCTTGTGAGCGCTTGCAACATCTTCCTTCCACTCTAGATCTTTTACAGCAAGTAGGTTGAGAAACTTGGCCTTCTTATTTCCTGTAGGTCGGTCGAGTTTCTTGGATCGGTAGAAGTGCCCTCAAAATCGGAGACAGGGTCCAATGGTGCAGCAGGATCGGATTGTGCTGGTGTCGATGCAAGTTTGGTCGATGCTGGCGCTGTGGTAGTCAAAAATGTGAAAATTCAAAGTTTTTTTCCTTTCTTTTTTCTTATATATATATTTCTTCATATTATCACCCAATCACTCTCAGAATTCACACCATACGGCTCAAGAACTGGACTCTACGGATAAATCCACCCTTGGTCACCACGGAGGCGACACTGGAACACACCTGGATCAACTCTTACCCAACACTGGACAACATATCACAAGGATTTCACCCATTGTTACATATCACCAAACCCAATTACAACCCTCAAGCTACACCGACACCCTCAGTACAGTACACACTCATTTACATACACACTCATTTACATACATCTACACTCTTTACATTTCACTTCTACATATTACATCATACCTGCAGCCTAAATTAGTGTATTTTCCATGCATGACAGCTGCAGCTTACACCACCACACTCACTTGTAAACACATCAGACCCTGACCAATCAGAATCACTCGTTCAGCTGCTTGGATCACCTCTTCAACTCTTGTACATGTCTGACCAATCACATTCACTCATTCAAATTTTGTATGTAGCTAAAAACACCTCATGTAATAGCCCAGGCCAGCCAAAATCACTCATTACTGGCTGCCCTGGAGCTAAATTCCCTCACTGTTGTATATATAAGGAGGCTCTCCTCCCAGTTGTTTAATCCTCAGTCAAGTAACACTCAAGCAATATTTGACCACCTTCACACAAACACTTTAAAGCGCCAACCAAACACCAAATCAACACTCTTCATCACACAACTCATTCCTGAACTTTACCCTATCACTTGATTAAAACTTGCCAAGCTAAGCTTGGTGGGTCTTGTTATCTGATAGTATAGAAGGGCAGAGCTTTCACTCCATCATCCCCTTCTCAATTCAGCAAAAAGGGTCTTACAACCACTTTTTGAGTCTTACAGCGCTTCACTACTAGGGCTTCTGGCTCGTTTTTTCTCTCCCCTCTTATTGTTATCGCGGCAGTAGTTGTGCCATTTGGGACTTTTGACGAGGAGTTTGTAGCAGCGGAGATACTTGAAATGAGATTGCTGGTCCTGCGAGTAAAGGCGGAGATCTTGGTTGAGCTGATCTTCTGCAGATGCCCCGCTCTCGTTGCGAGATTCGACAAGGTTGACAAAACCGTGAAATTTATTGATCGATGGTTGTAAGTAGTTGCTCCATCTCTTCTTCAAGCTATCGACGGGTTGAATTGGGTCTGGAACCGCTTCGTGATATAACGTGGAAACGCAAGACCAGAACGTGTTGCCATCTTGATTTGTTCCAACCATGGGGTCTTCAGATACCTGAACCCAGGCTCGACATACCTCAAAGTCCTTGGGTTCGGTATAATTGGGAGCCTTCTTTTTTTTGGCTGGATGATCTGATTGGGATTCATTTGGGAGCCAGATAGGTTAGTGGGTCAGAAAATGAACAAATGAAAAGAAAAAAACTCACTGTTTTCGTTGTTCTCTTTGTCATCATTGTCATCTAGAGATGGATCAACATTTTGAATTCGCTTTCTGGCCATTGCTGTCGTTTGGTATGTATGTGTTGGCAATATCGGTGATCGGTGGTGTATGTGTTGGCGATATTGGTGGTGTATGTGTTGGGGATATTGGGGGTTGTGGGCAGGAAGGGTAGTGTGAAGTATCACAGCAATGGGCTGTGATATCCAGATGGAGCGGACCTATTGGAGGAGTACACAATCTTGAGTCTAGGAATAGTGTAGGTCCCGAGAGGGATTTTCTCAGTTTAGGCCGCCCTTTGGGGCCTGCGGTGGCGGGGCTAAATCCGGCCTGGGTGCCTAAATTTGGGTTAGTCCCTCAATTTAGGCCCCGCGGTGGAGATGGTCTAAACCTCAACCCTAAACCCTAACCCTAAACCCTAAAACCTAAGCCCTAAACCCTAAACCCTAAGCCCTAAGCCCTAAACCCTAAACCCTAAACCCTAACCCTAAAACCTAACCCTAAAACCTAACCCTAAAACCAAACCCTAAAACCAAACCCTAAAACCTAACTCCTAAACCTAACCCCTAAACCTAACCCCCTAAACCTAACCCCCTAAACCTAACCCCCTAAACCTAACCCCCTAAACCTAACCCCCTAACCCCCTAAACCCCTAAACCCCCAACCCCCTAAACCCCTAACCCCTAGCCAGGGTGGGAATTGAACCCATGTGGGGGTGCACTTATGCCAACAGACTATAATGGCTGGGCTGCGGGAAGTCATACCAATACTAAACCCACAGTTGCAATCCAGCTCCCTGAGCTGGAAAAAGGAGCTGGGAGAGCTGGGTGGAGCTAGGAACATCCAGCTCCACCCATTTTTCCATTCCAAATGGAGGATGTGAACGTTTTTTCCTCCATTTGGAATGGAAGAATCGGAGTGACACAGGTGGTGTAGTTTCAGTAAATATTTTTATCTTTTTATGTTCTCTAATTCACTCAAAGGATAATCTCTTCCAAAATACAAAATTGATGTAAAAAATAAATTTTAAGTGTGTTTAACACTACCAAATAGTATGAATGACATGGGCAATTTGGTATCAGAAATCATATGACACAATAAGCTATATAGAAAATCTGGGAAATGAAAGGGAGCAAATTTCCAAAGTATACAATCCAAAATACCAGATTTGAAAAAAAACTCACAACAAAGCAATATCCAGAAGGAATCAAGACAAAACAAAGAAAGGACTCCAAAGACAAGCAAGAATTCAAAGTAAACAATTAAATAAGTATTGGATGAGTTTTTTGAATTACCCTTGAGCTTTTTTGCACTCAAGCAATGTAAAATTGCCTGTGTGCATACCAGTTGAGGTAGGCTTAACACAGCCAATTGTGGAAGTACTATTGGCTGGGTTGTGTGAATGTTAATTGAACTGGTTTCAAACAGTCATACAATGATCCATACTGAGAAAATCCCCCCTTTTTCAATGTCATTCCTTCTTTTTTTCTTCAATTTGTCTTCTCTTCTGATTTTCTGTCTTTCTTTTTCTTTTTCTTTTTTTTCTTTTTCTTTATTTTATTTTTATTTTTTTTTTTTTCTCCCATTCTCATCAATTGAAAAATGACCATCTAGATTGACTCTATAAGGAATTGAAAACAAATTTCCTCTGATAAAATTTTGCATGGCTTGAACTCTTCTCTTTCTGTAAAGGGACATTGATTTACAAATCAGGATCCATGTTTCTGTTTTTGGTAATACACTAGTCAATTCAGCATTTACTCACTTCATAATATCTCTCATTTATGTTTGGTTTATTTCATATTGAACCCAAAGCACATATTCTTCAAAGCAGAAGGTTTGGGCTCAGAGTACAATTTTCTGAGTTTTTCAATTTCTTTTCCTACAAATTGAACTTGATCTTCAATTTCTCTTGTGCAGGCTTTTTCATCCAAGATTTTAATCTTGGATATAGTTTCTCTGTACTGTAATTGTAAAGGGGATTCTCTGATGTGATTGCCAATCAAATTCAACTCTTCAAGTGGTGAAATTCTTTCCCTTCCAACTCCTTTTGACAGCGGAAATTCTGTTTCCAAGTAATGATGAATATTTTTTAGTTCCAAAAGCACATGATTCCTCAAATTTAAAAGTTTCAGGCGAATAATTACTGCATCATCAAACATAGGAGCCACAGAAGTGATTATTGTTGTGCTTGATGCATTTTTCAAGCCATGTTCAACCACCAGTTCTATTATCTTCCCTGTAAGCATTATTGCTTCATTTTTTCTCCAATTCTGAGTCCAAATTACATCATCTTTGAAAATTTTGATGAGATCAATGAGTCCTTTCTCAACAGATTTATCTAACTGATACTCTTCACCCGCTTCCAAGGCTTTAAGCAGTCCATTATTTTGACACAAGCAATCAACAGCTTTTTTCACAACATTCTCAAATGGATCACGAATGTCTGCCTTGAATTTAAGGGATTGATAAACAATTAAACTTTCTGCAAATCTTCTATTGGACAAGTCTCCCAAAACTTTCAAAAAAAGAGGATTAAATTTATAACAATGTCAAATTAAAGATATTATATTCAAGAAAAGGTGATTCTGATTTGTAACATACCTTTCAAAATGTTCAAGAAAGGTGATTGGTAATAGCTTTTCAAAGCAAATTTTAAGCTTTGAAAACCTTTGTTTTCATCCACTTCTCTGAAAGGGTAAAAAAACTGGAACATGTTGTGAATAGTGGGAAGAAATCTTGAATTAAACCACCTTACAGCCAAATTTTTCAAATCCTCATCATCTATCAAGCCAAACTTGTATACTTGATCCAATGTCTGAATATGAATTCTTCTAAGAGTCATGAAATCTTGATCTTTATCATTTGCATATGATTTGCCCTCATTTTCCAATTTTTCAGATAGCTCTTCAAGCCTATCTTTGGGGAAATGTCTAACCACATTTTCTGGACCCATTATCATTTTTTCTTTCTTGGACGATGAATCTGAAGAAGAGCCTCTTTGAGGGGGAAAGGCATGTTTTACTTTAATTTCTAAAGCCAGTTAGATTTATTTTTAAGAGAAAGGTTATACAGAGAAAGAATTGGACATACATCTCTTTCAAAAAATTTTGACTTGAAAATATTTTGGGGTCTGGGAAATGATTTTCATATGCCCACTGCTCAATTTTATAGCTCATATGTTGCTTTAAGCTATTGTGGATCAATTCTAATCCATTGGCATGTTCACGCAAGATATTTTTGGAATGACCTTTTGGTTTTATCACTGTACCATCTTGTTTTATGATTGCATTCTCAATGCTTCGCTTTTCAATAGATTTTTTGAGATCTTGAAGGTCTTTAGTCATAATGTCGAAGTCTTCCCACAAAATTTGTGCGTTGAGAGTTGGCCAGTAAGGGTCAACCAAAATCTTTTCGGAAGAGCCTTGATTTTCATTCTTGGTTTTTCTCATCGCAAGGTCTAACTCTATGATCCGGAAACAGGAAAATGAGTTGATCAGAAGTGCATCCCATGGTTCAACTGACAGCTTACGGTTTTTGTAAGATCCAGGAGTTGGCTGTCTGAACGGTCTAACAGTGTTGAAGTATAACTCGATGTCACCTTCTGTGAATGAACGCTTTGTGGACATTGGTGTAAATGCTGATGTGCGTTGTCTGATCAGAATAGGAAGTGTCTTCAAATTTAGGAGCATTTAGAAGGGGACATACTGTTTCCATTTTTGTTTTTCAGAAGCAGATCATTGATTCTAACACTCTTAGCCGATTGCAAGAAACACACAGCCAGAACTATCAATTTCATCATTTGGTGCACCAAAAACACAGTCATCTTGAGTGGAGAGCCCAAAATCAAAGGATGGTCACGGCGAGATACTGGGTTACACGAAGATCGATGAAGGGTGAATCTGATGCTCGACTTTGGTTGTAGTCAAAGAAATTGTGGCCAGGGACAAATGGCGACGATACGGTCAACCAGCTCCACGTGTCCAAATCGAATCTCCTTATAAAGACAGGGTTAAACTTGAAAGAGCACAAATGTATGAGCTGTCCAGCAGGCTCAAACGTTTTGCGGGGACTCACACTGCAAAGAATATCAGTCTGGAGTTGTATGTAGACGAATTGTTATCGGCTGGGATGTCATAATCTTACAATTGATGAAACCGAGGTGAATCGAATTGTGAACTCACCGCCCTCACTTTATTATAAGGCTCATGAAGTACTGCGTCAATTCACTAACTGTAAAATATTTGTGTAAGGGGCAACTTTTAGCACTGGCTGCAAACAGGGGACAGACCGGTCCAACCGCCTCTAAGTCCAGCGCGCAGAACAGCGCAGAACCGGCCGGACATCAGGTGCCGGGATTGGGAACCGCTCGAACCAGCGTGTTTTTCCAGTTGCTGCCGGTAGTTCAGTTGCCCCATTTTTCAACTCGGTTCAACCGTGTTTAAATTTTGACTCACAACGAACCCAAACCGTGCATTACACGGAGATAATCTTACCGACACATTTCGGGTTAAGGCTGTCAAACCGACACACGAATGTGAATTAACGTGTTGAGTGTCCTGAGCAGGAAAGCTTCACATGAGAGCATGTCCAGGCATGTCCCCCTAGCTTGCAATGAAACATCCTTAAACACGACTTCTTCAGTTATGTCAAATTGTGGGGCCGAGGGAATTCAGGATCCCCGTCAACGCAAGCTGCCAGCTTGTGCCGTGGGGGAAAAAATTCCAGCACTTGACATCCCACTCAGCTGGGGCGCAGAATTCAGCTGATTAAAAAAACAGAAAGGCCAAATGGTCTTATGGGTCTTACGGAAGAAGTTTGTCTTTCGCAGAGCAAGATTCTGACATGTTTAATCCAGAGTACTTTTCTGGGAACCGTCGGATGCAAGCGGTCTGTTCTGTCAGCACTTTCCATGAGACTAGATGACAAAACTATAATTTCACAAATGAATCCAGAGGCAGACACATCTGCCACAATTCTTTTTGGATGGGAGTACAGTGATCAAACACAATCCATGAAGAGGAGTCAGGGGGAGAAAATTAGAATAGCAGGTTGGGCATGGATGTAACAGTTTTCTTAACTTACTTAGTTAATTGGTTGATGAGATGTAACACATAATGATGATGAATGATGGTTAGAAATGAAATCATGTTTTGGTTTTTCATCTGAGGTGTTTCATTTGATCTGATACTCTTAGTGAACTATTTACCATCTTTGTTTTGCATATTCTGGAAGGTGCAATATATTGAAAATGTCAAGAAATCCAGACTTAATTACAACTCCCTTCTCATTGAGTTTTCATAAGACCCTGTAAACCCCCAGATTATGGAAGTGGCAAAAAAATATGGATTTTACCCAAAACCCATACATTTTCAAGAGTCACTCTCACCCATTTTCTGCCTATGTACCCTCTACTCTAGGGGAGGGGGGTTAAGTTCTGGCAACAGTCACATGTATGATGTGATATTCAATTTTCTCTGCCAGGAAGCTTGAAACCAGTGGTTTTTGTTTCCTCTCTGTCTAAGGTTTGCAACTGTTTTGCAATGAGGAGTAACAAAGTCAATCTTTTTTCCTAAAAAATCCGCGTAGAAAGTAAATGGATGATTAAGAAAGAATGTAAGAAGCAAGGAAGATAAATTTTCACATATTACAGGCATATGAGGCAGCCAATCATGAATGGCAACACAAACTAAGTTGAAAATAAAACCGGTAATTCACATAACATTTTTTTCAATGCAATAGTGATACAACATAAGAGTATTCAGGGCCCAAAATTCAGAAGTGTACGTCGGGCATGGAAGCTGAGCCAAGCTAGTCAGGGTCTTCCAAAAGACCCGTTTTGGTCTGTTGGTGGTTTCACACCACAATCGAATAGAACCGAATCAAATCAATCTGTGGCGCTTGCAGCGTTATAAGAACGCCTCTGTGTGGGGGCCAGGCAACCCACTCCCCAAATCACCTTCACAACCAAAATCGCCCACATTTGAATCTACAATATCCGTTTCTTTGATCAACCGCCATGAAATCTACCGCGACTATCCTCTTGAGTTCGCTCTTGTTTATGTTGATCAGCACCGCCATTGCAGCCTCGGGCCCTGGAGGTTCGCCAGCCCCTGACCCATCAGCGGGCCGAGCTCCTCCAAACGACCCCTTCCAACTGGCACCAGGCGAAAAAGTTTTTGATTGTAGAATGCCAGAAGTCTGGAACTTTCTTTATTGTATCAACATAAATACTGGAGGTGAGTAGAGCGGGATTGTGTATTCTGCGTTTAAATTGCAGACTCTTAATGAAGCTGACCTTGTTCTACCATCCTCTCTCAGTCGGTCAGAACGGCGTGAATCGGGAGAAGCAGTTTGTATGGGACAACCCTATTTTTATCTGTCCAAAGGATTACATTGGTCTCTGTTGCAAGAAGGTGCGAACTCTCAAAAATGATCAATTCGGGTTTTCATTGAAAGGAACTCTTGCTAACAATATGTTATCAATTTGCGTCTGGCTTCCCTCGACATCCAGAAAGGCAACTCGGTGGATTTGAAGAACTGTGGAGACATGCATGAAGTACCCCGTTCAAGTCTCTGATCCTGCTCTCTTTCCTTCATGATCACAGAGGCTATCATCTCTGTCGCATACCTCAAGCCGACTTTTTCTCCGCTGGTCTTGTGATGTGTGCATTCAAAAACACTCACCCCTTCCAAGAAAAATTCTAGTGTTCATTTCGGAGCTATGTATACATTTGAAGTGCTCACATGTCTTATTCACCAGAGAATACACCTGTTCCACCCCACAATGATTTTGAGGACACATTGAATCCAAGAGTAGTGCCAGGGAGCTCATGAAGCTTTCATTGAAATCTTCCATCGTAAAATTGCCTGAAAATAAAGGAATGAAATGCTTCCAAAAACAAAATCAAAAAGGGTTGATAGTTCATAGTAGGTAAGTTCACAAATAAGCGTTTGGATATTTGGGCCCATAACTTCACATTCAAGAGGTTGTTAATTTTTGTTAGATGTTTCTTTGTTCCATAAAATATAAGTAAAAAAAGGCAGTGGTCCTCTTGAAACAGAATATTTATGCTAGTAGAGCAAACACAGAGAAAAGTGAATCGTGAAGAACAACGCCCAACCGCGACGGTGGGTGACTTCAAGTGAGGTTAAAAGTTACAAGGGCTCTCAAACACGTCGACATTTATGTAAGCCCCGAGTCGACCCCCGATTGCTATCGGGTAATCCCACCACTCTACAGTTGTACCACCTGTCATAGCAATCGACTGATTAACGACACCGCAGGGAAAAAAAAAGAGAGAAACACCTCAGATTTCTTGATAACGGAATACCAAAAAATCTCAGTCTCGGGACACACAAAGTAAGCGACAACAAAAAAAAATTACAATGATAGTTTGAACAGACGAAATTTTTTCAGCTGACTTCGGATGAATCTGAATCTCACAGTTATTTGCTCATAGGAGAACAAAATTATGACGTCGATATACTGGTCGTGGTTGATGAAGATAGCAAGACTAGGGGCATGGGTGTTGAAGTTCAATGCGGCGCTTGTTGGAGTGATAGGGGTACTGTTGTGAGCATTTGAATGTATTTATGTGTGTCCCAACAGGGGAAACAAAAAAAAAAAAAGGTTTACAGGGAGAAGGCTAATGGAGCTCCAGTGTTTGTTGTTGTTGGGAACTGGAAGATATTCGTTCCAGGGCAAGATGATTTATCCGAGCTCGATGCCCCAAGGATCTCGAGAAAAAGTGCCGAAACCGTCGGATTTCGAGATGAAGGATTGGCAAGAAATCGAGCTCGTTGCACCCGATCAAGTCGTCACCAAAGCTTTCGTCATCCTTGCAGCACGGAGGTCTGAGAAGAGCCTTTCTGGAAAGGCCCTGGAGGATTGGAGACGGCGTCGCCCGACGATTCTTATGCTCCATGCCAATGCTGGCAACGTGGTCAGTGGGACTTGCTTGAGGGCATGCGAGACTGCTCACCCTATCTTCCTCTCGTTTGATCGGCCAAGAAATGATATCAATTTCAAGCAAACGTTTCTAAATCTCTCTGATAATCAATCACTTGGATCTCAGGGACATAGATTACCGATAGCCAAGGTCTTGGTAGAACGATACGAATGCAATGTGGTTGCGATTTCGTATCGAGGTTACGGACATTCCTCAGGCACTCCCTCGGAGAAGGGCATCCTTCTCGACTCGCAAACCGCCTTCGATTACATCAATTCTCACCCGATCTTCGACTCTTCTCCGATCTTCCTCTACGGTCAAAGTTTAGGTGGTGCAGTCGCTATCGGATTGGCTGCTAATAAGGTCAATAAGGGCAAAATCACCGGAGTGATCTTGGAAAATACCTTTGCAAACTTGGTTAGTTTCTCATTTCCCTGCACTCAGAAATGAGAGAAAAATCATATCAAGAGACCCTGATGATTTTTTTTTTGCTGCGTTCTGAATGATCAACATCATCAACTACCGAAAACCAACCAGAGAAAACTGATTCCAGTAGTGATGCCGATCATTGGACCGCTATCATTTTTATGTCACCAGACATGGTATTCGGACCAACGGATGACACAGATAAGCGACGGGTCGGACTCGCCTGCGTTTTTATTCTTGTCGGGAACAAAGGACGATTTGATTCCCACATCTCACTTCCGGATCCTCTATGACCTTTGTCCGTCTAAGCAGAAATCATGGAAAGCTTTCAAAGATGGAAATCATAGTCTGTCTCTATCATCTTCTCCTCTATTAACTGCTTTCTCCCGTTGTCCTACTGATGATTTTTGCTTCTTCCTTCTACTTTCTTGAAGATGACACTTGTCTTCAAAAGGATTACTTCCCCACTATGGGAAGCTGGATTGAAGAAATTCACTCCAGTGCTAAACATGGTTGACCAATCCACCTTTCCATTTCTTTCCAACCAATTCTCTTGTTAAATCGTCATTACCTTTCCGCATGCTCTTACATATAGTTTTCTTCTTCACATGATGTATGTGACTTTTTTTCTATTTTTCTGAATTTCAATATTACATTCTTCGCACTTATCTTTTATCGTCTTGTTTTCTCTTGTGTTATTGTTAATAGATCCATCTTTAGATCGAATCAGATCCGATTCTTCCAGAGGAGAGAGAGCAGGAAAGAAAACGCTTCAAAGCACGTGTCATTCAAACCATTTGATTGCTATCTTTCCAGGAATCTTTGTTCCCACTCCTTGTCCCAGCTGTTTTTTAGGAATTCCAATCCTGTCCAAGTCAAGCAACTGTGGTGTCAGTCTGCAAGTTTAGCTTTACTAGATTAAGAGACACAGCGGTGCATACCTTCCGACGCCGAATACAGAGTAAGACTTCTCTCTCTAAGAATGGGTGGACCTTATCCTACTAGCCCCTTGGAAATCATTGGGCCATTCTGATCGCTCTCACAGCAGAGGCCACTTCTCTCAAGAAACATGACCCTAGAAAATTTCAGAGCTATACTACTAGAGGCTCTACAAGTCAAATTTCAGAGCTATACTACTAGAGGCTCTACAAGTCAGGTGCCGAGTGATTGTGACGCCATCTGGAAAAATGCCAACTCAATTTATCTGTCTCTTAACTTCTTGTAAATCAAGAATCTCACAAGATTCTCATTGATTTCTAATATAGAAAAAAAATCACTTGGGAAAGTGAATTCGGATCACTGGTATTTGCTAGCTGTTCATTGCTGTGACTGCTATCACCTTTTTCTGAAATACTTATATGGAGAAAAACGTTGAAGAGATAGATAAAGGGAGGATGAAAAAAAAAAAAATCTTGAATGGTGGAAAGGGGGGTCTATTCGACAGCCTTGGTATTTTTAAGTTTACTAAGAGCAGAGAGAGAGATTTGATCGGGGAGGAGATTGGCGGCGGAGCGAGTATCGATAGTAGGAAAAGGGAGGGCCTTGATATGGCCTGGGAGGAGGGCCTGATTATGGACGTTCCAGCCTTTGCGGATCCAATGTTGGCCGACCCTATGGACACCCTTCTCGGCGTCGGTGACCCGGACGAAGGCCTTCTTCGGCCCAGGCACCTGACCCTTCACATAAATCAGGTTCATGTCTGTGTCGATCCGGGCCACTAATAGGTTCCGGACCGTCACCGGCTGGTTTCCCATTCTTCCTGCCATCTTCTTCCCCGGCCATACTCGCCCAGGATCCTGTCATCACAAATCACACCATCCGATTAATTCCAGGTCCCTTTCGGCTCTCTTCCAGGTATTGGTTTTCTGTCTAAATCTTCAGGATTCACAGAGGAAGGAGACTTACTTGGTGCTGTCCTGTGGAGCCTGCTTTCCGATGATGTTTAGTCGAACCATGCGATGCATTTCCTCCACTGAACCCCCATCTTTTCATCACTCCTGCAAACCCTTTCCCCTTCCTTTTTTTATATCAGACAAACAAGTCATCAGCAAAAAGGGATCAGTTCATAGATGAGTACAAACTAAGTGCTGAAGTTGGATGTGGAAAAAATTGACGGACGAATTCGATTTTACGTCTACAAACTGCCCGGGTACGAAATGCGCCGCGGAGATCGAAGTACCTAAAATAAACACACCAAATGTTACCCCCCTCTGCCCCCCCCCCGAAAAAAAAGAAAGGGAAAAAAGTGAACAGATCAAGAAAGGGAGAAGATTTACCGATAGGAGAAAAACATTGATGATTCGAGACGACGAATTCAGTAACTTTTTGTTTGGGGGTCAGATCAAGATGTTTATAGTATTTTAATTGGGCGTTATGGATCGAGTTTCTCGAGAACTTGTCGGTACAACCGATCTGAATCGCATCGTAATTGTCTCGTTCCTTGTACTTATGTCCGACCACCTGAACATCCTCCAGCTAATTTTTTGTTTTTGGAGAAAGTCCGGAAAAATAAATCACTCTATTCCGTTTGTTGAGAATCGATGTCGGAAGAAAGAAGAATTTGATTATACCTCCAAAACGGTCACTGGAATCCTGATTCCATCCGAGTCCCAAAAGCTCGTCATTCCGCGCTTACGAGCAAGCACGCCAGTTCTACGGAGACCCGGCATCCATGGTTTTTGAGGCGGGTTGATGAGCTCGGTGATCGATGTGGGAGATTGGGAGGGCGTAGACTGGGGGATAGTGGCTTCTGATGTGGTGGGTTCAGTCGGGGTGCTGGATGATGGTGATGATGATGATGTTGTTGTTGTTGTCGAGAGTGTTGCGAGGGTTCTGATCGAGGATGATATCGGCTGGGCTCGTATCTGTAGCTGGACCAGGCTCGAGAGTAGGAGAGGGTGGTGGTGGAAGAAAGTCATGCTGATTGCTGAGGACCGCATCAGACGATCGGCTGGAAAGTTTGAAGAGTGGGATAATAAATCAGACGGAGCCCCGATTGGAGTATCCCCACTGCGAAGAACCGCAGCAACTGGACTCAGAATGGGCAAGGCCTCCTTCAAAAGCAGAAACAGAATAGAAACTCAAGAGTTCTTTTTGGATTGGAGAAATGAATTCCCTCTGCATGTTTGACATTGCTGTGATGAAGTAGGGATGAGTTTTTTGAGCAACGACGATGTATCAGCTATGTAGGATCAAAGAAGATAAACCCCACACAGAAAACAAGACCCAAGAGACAAAAATAACACACAAAACCAAACAAACAGGACTTGAGAAATCAAAAACCAAAAATCAAATAACCCAAAAATCAATGCAGAAATTCAAAACCAAAGATATCAAAAGAAAACATTTCACAGCACACAAGATTGCTTTTTCTTTTCTTTTTCAGCCAGATATTTCAAACAAAAGAGAATAAAATGGAATTAAAATAAATTTGATTCCAAAACACAAGTTTCATAGTTTCATTGATTGCAAATGTGCACTTTTTTCTCCAAAATTCAATGAACTATCTTCTTTGTTTCCTCTTTTCCACATATTTGGGAAGAATTTATTTTGTTGTGAAGCTTGAATAAAGTGCTTTTCAAACAGAATTTTCAGAATAGAGTTTTCTGAGTCTGTTTATTTCACTTTCTAAAAATTGAAGTTTGGCTTCAACTTCTTGTGTGCAGGATGTCTGATCTACACCTTGACTGTAAGAAATATTTTTTCTGTACAGTAATTGGGATGGGGAACTTTTGATATGGCTTTCAATCAAATTCAGCTCTTCAAGTGGTGGAATTCTTTCACTTCCAATTTTTTTGGACAGAGGAAAGTCCTTTTCCAAATAAAGCCTGATATCTTCCAGTTCTAAAAGAGCTTGATGTCTAGAAGATAACAATTCCAGTCGGCTGCTTACTGAATCATCAAAAATCCCATCCACAGAAGAGATCATTTTCTTGTTATGCTCATTCTTCTGCCCATGTTGAATAACAACCTCTATGATTTGGGCCAAAATTCTTATTCCTTCATTTGTTTCCCATTTATTCTTCCAGATGTGATCATCTGTGAAAAGCTGAATGACATCAACCAGGGGTATCTTGATGGCCTCATCCAGATCCCCATTTTTTTCACTTTTTTCTAAAGCAGTATTCAGTTGATTATATCCATACAACCTGTTTGCCAATTGCTTCACAGTATGACCAAATGGACCATCATTTTCTGCCTTGTATCTCATTAAATCAGATTGAAGAAATCTTCCCAAGACTCTTGTTTGTGAATTAATATCCAAAACTTGAAAAAAAAATCAAGACAAAACATGCAGAGAAATGTCAGCACAAGTTGATAAGATCAATTACACTCATGAGAAAAAAGCAGATTTTCTTGATCCTTACGTTCTAGAGCATTCAATAGAGGGGATTGGTGACTCTTTTTCAGCGTAAAATAAATGTTTTGTAAAATGCTGTTTTCATGCTCTTTTCTCAGACCATAAATTTCCTTGAACATCTTTTGAGTAGTTGGAATAAAATTAGGATGGAGCCAACTAGTAGCTATATTTTTCAACTCCCTATCACTTATTAAACCAAACTTGTAAAGTTGGTCCAATGTTTGAATGTGAATTCTTCTGAGCATTAAAACCTCTTTATCATTGTTATATTTTGGTAGGTTGAACTGGAATTCCATCTGTTCTAATAGCTCTGTAAGCTCATATTTGGGGAAATACTTTACAGAATTTGCTGCGCCCATTATAGTTTTATCTGTTTGAAAAATGGTATCTGATGAAGTTTCTCTTTTGGAATAGATTAGAAAAGATATCATATTTTGGCATATCCAGGCTTCAATCAGTTTTTTGTGAAACAACATATAATACAGAGAATAAGTTCACATACAACTCTTGGTGAATCTTTCCGCCTGCAAATATTTTGGGGTCTGTAAAATGATTCTCTTTTGCCCAATTCTCAAATTTATGCACCATGTTGTGTTTCAAGCTTTCAAGAATTAAATCTAAACCATTGGCATGTTTATTCAGAATAAAATTGGAATGGCCGGTTGATTTTAACAAAACACCCCTTTCATCTTTGATTGCATCTTCGCTGCCTCTATTTTTGATGATGATTTTCAGATCTTGAAGAGCTTTTTTGATATTGTTCACATCTTCCCACATGAGTTTCACTTTGACAGTCGGCCAGTAAGGATCAACTGAAACTTCTCCAGAATAGCTTCCTTTTTCTTTTTTGGATTTTCCCATTGCAAGGTCTAACTCTATGGTCAGGAATTAGAAAAATTAGTTGCTCAGAAGTAAATACCATGAGTTTAAACTGATGGCTTACGGTCTTTGTACGTCCCAGGGGTTGGCTTTCTGAATGCTCTAACAGTACTGGGGTACAACTCAATGTTTCTTTCTGTGAATGAAGGCTTTTCACTGATTATTGCATCAATGGGTGCGTATACTGACAAGTTTTTGGTGTTTTTCATGCAGGAGGGCAAATCAGAAAAGGTAGCTTCTTTCTGGTTTAGAAAAAAGGACATACTGTTTTCCTTGGATGGCAACCGCTGATGGGTGATTACCCCTTCACCACATTCCACAGATTGATTTGCTTGGAAGTAAAAAACAGCAAGTGCTATCAATTTTAATCTTTCATATCCTGAGAAAACTACCATCTTGAGTGGGAGCCTGGAGGCCCAAATTCAAAAAAGGGTAATATAAATTCTGGGGTACACAACACCCAATAAATAGAAAAAAATGTTTTCCTTGCAGCCAAGAATTTCTGGATAGTTGGATAATACAGTCTGCTGAAATCTAAACAGTCTCTAGTGAACCTCCTTATATAGCATGTGTTCAACAATAAATGCTCCAACTTTATACAGGGAAAATGCAGATGACACAAGTCTGGAGGTGTATTGCTATCAGCTGAGACCTCAAATTTTTACCACTGATGAAACCATGTGTGAGCCAACAGCACATGCCAAACCTTGTATTGTTCAAAAGGAACATGCATGACTAATTGCAACATGTCACAAATTGCCTTTGTATAGAATTTAATTTGTGAAACTTACAAATTCCAGCACTGCTTGAATGCTTGGTCAACACAGTCAAAGTGCTGGTGATAAAGAATTTTCCAGTCAATTTTTCATCTAGGGTCGATATACTGGTGTAAATTACTCAGTAATAAGGTGAGGTTTCATGTTTGGCTGTATGCTCCAAGCAGTCCAGTTTCACAACTAGGGTTGGCCACTCCACCTTTGAGTTGAGGGGAACCAAGGCACACATCTTTGGTGTGGGGCATGACAGGGTGCTGATTTTTTGCTACATGGGATTCGAATTTGGTGGTAATCATTATTTTTCCTATCTTCTGAGGTAATCCCCTTATTATTGCTCATTGAGAGAGGGGGGGAAAAGATAATAAATGGCCCAAAAAGCCATGGGGTCCCATTTGCAATAGAACACAAGAGGTTTCATGGGAGCTAGTGAGTTGCTATTGGGTTTCTGAATATGGAGACCCAGTGACAATTTTTACCTGCTGGGGTCAAGTCAAAACTCATTTGACATCCTTGGTGGGTGTTGAAATTTTGGGTGGTCTGCCTTTTTTTCACACAAAAAAATTCCCCATTGTGGTATCTGAATGTGCAAAAATTCAAAAAGGGTTCTCACAACCACCTTTGAGTCTTACACCGTGCATACCATTGGAGTGTACACCAAAAAGAGAAAAAATTGGTTATGTTGAGGTTCAGCCCTTTGACAGAAGAAATGAAACCCTTTAATTGGAGTCTACAGGTCAAACCAAGGGATTTCAATTTATGCCTCCTGGTGAAACAGTGGAAAATGAGTTCTGAAGAATGATTCTGACAAATTGGACAGGAAAATATTTTTGTCAAAAATTTGTAGATTCTTCTACATTTTCTGATTTGTTTTTTTTGGTATTTTTCAATCATTTTTTTTTTGAAATAGCTCAAAAAATCATGATCAAAACAATTTCATGTGAAAACATGATTATAAATGAAAAATTGAAAAAAGTGATCAGCAGCTTTTTTAAGCATGTTTGGATTGTGTCATCCACCAGGCCAACCCTGAGCACTGAAATCAAATTCAATTCCAATATCAATCCAACTTCTTCTGCTCTCTAAAGTTATGATCATCCTCAATTTTTCATCTATAATCATTCTTTTCACATGCAATTGTGTTGATTATGATTTTTTGAGCTCCTTTGAAAAATGACTGAAAACTATCAGAAAAATCAGAATATGTGGAAAAATGTACAAGATTTTTACATAACATTTTCCTGTCCAATTTTCCAGAACTATTCTTCAGAACTCATTTTCCACAGTTTCATCAGGAAGCATAAATTCAAGTCTATTGGTTTGACCTCTAGACTGCAATTAAAGGGTTCCATTTTTTCTATCAAGGGGCTGTACATAGTCATGCACTCCATAGAATCTGGAGTGCCCAGCTTTGCATTGTTGTAATTGTTTTGTGTGGATCAACACTGGGCAAGTATGTTGGGAGGCTGTCTGTCACTTTGGCAGCCTCCAAGCATTTAATGCCTCTACAGGGCTGTTTTGTTGTTTGTTGGGAATCTGCCAAGTACATTGGAAGATTCCCAAGTGCCCTGGCATCCAAGGGGCTGGGAAAGCCCCTGATCTTAGTGTAATATAATGTTATGGTATAGAGTCTCAATGAGTACTGTAGCTGTGTAGGAAAATTAAATGAGTGATATGTATGTCAGTGTAAGCAAAGTACATTGACAGAATGAGAGGAAAAAAAGGCAGCTTATGTCCTTGGAAGCTAAACTTTCTGTTAGCCTCACAACACCTTTTGAACTTCCCCGTGAAGGGCACAACCTCACAAGACTCCTCCAAGAAGTGGTCCCTTCAATATAAACAGCCATAATTCAAGGCAGTTAATAATATCAGTGTAATATTCATATGTATTAATTATATTAGAAGTAAATGGTCCATTTACAATATTGACCATTTTTAAATAAAGAGTCTTTAATTTTTTTGTTGTTGGTGGGTGTGTTTGTTTTCTTTGGTGTGTGAGAGGTTGGATGGATTGCTGATGGGGGGAAAATAACCAGAAAAGGCACTTCTTAAATAGAAGTGCCTTCCCCTGAGAAAGACAAAAAAAAGCCCTGGGGAATGGCATTTCCCAGTCCCCAGTGTGTTGAGTTGCTAAATAAAGCATGGCAACCTGGTTTAGATCACCAAGTGGAGATTCTCTTAAATTGATACAAAAGAAAAAAAGAAAGCATTGAAAGTCTAGGTCCAGGACCGCATCATGAGTCCTTGTTGGTGAGAACTTGGATGGGGTTCTTTTAATGTTTTGCCATGGGGCTTCACGTGTTGTTGTTTTTATTGTTCTTTGCGCCACTGGGGCAAGAAAGCAAGCCAGAACATGTACCCATATGTTGGGGGATTGAAGGACAGAGGACAGGACACCAAGGGAATAATAATCAGGTCCATCCCATCTAGATAGATCCTGTGATGGATTGGGAGTGCGACCCAATCTCACCGGTCTATGCCACTCTTTGAGTGACGTATCGAGTGATTGACAGAATAAGGATCCATCTGGGAAATCCATCCTATCAGGTAGGTGAGCCATCTACCATAGTGAAATCGCGTTGTAAATATGCTTCACGGACTTCTAACGCTGTTTCGGCGTTTCGTATTTCCTCTCGGCTCACTAGAGACAAATAAGAAGTGTTTTGTTTGAAGGTTAAGCAATCCGGTTCTCATCGTAGAACTCTATTGTCAATATGATAAGAAGAAAGAAAGCAAAAGAACTGACATCCCCAACGATGGCGAACCGAACAAGACTTCAGATTAGGCAAAACAGGTCTGTCCTGTGTTGAGCTTGAAAGGACTTCAGCGAAAGCAGTGAGACATATATCACAGTCCTCCCAGGCAAGCTTAACAATCGAATCGGGCAAGGACTGGAACAGCTTGCTTGTTGCGATGTCGCCAGTAAAGGATAAGGATTTAAGTCTCCTGAGTGCGGAGGGAGACTCAAAGACGGCATCTAGCAGGCTTTTGTTGGAAGAAGGGATATCGTGATTGACATCGCCCCCGGCGGATGATGTTGTGGACTCTGAGTCGTCAAAGCACCAGTCAATCTCAACCTTCAAACACTCCAGGTCGGGATTCGTAGACCCTTGAAGGATCCGACAAAAGCCTTCCAAGTCGATCTCTCCGCCTGGATTGCTAATCTCGAGCGTCCGCATGCTATGTCGAAAGTTTTTCAGAAACCTCGAGAGCTCTTGCTCGTCCAATTCCGGGTTTCGAAGGATCAGTGTTAGCACCTCGCAATTTAGAATGGGTATTGGCCTCTGAGCGGTCCCCATCAGTCGGCCTGACGGACCCCTAAGCCCACTCAATTCTACCGTCTCAAGGTGGTCCCATTTCGAGAATAATCGACCAACGACATCGTCGACATTCCACTGAAAGATCGACCGATTGTTGTGATCCAAGTTGTCGAGAATAACGAACTCTTTGATCAGTGGTCGACTCGACAGGGCCTCCAACATAAGGTCCTTACAGTCCATCGACACCGCAGTACTGATGGCGATATTCATGAGTAGGGGACAGCTCCGGATGATTCCACAGAACAAATCGCCACTACCCTTTGACACCGAACAGATGCCGTCACAAACAAGCTGTAAGGAGCGGACGTGGCGTGCTAAACTGCTCAGGCGAGAATAATCAATGTCGAACCATCGGACCATCGAGACGTTATTGTCCTGGGCGTTCCTCCTATGTTTTTGATTGAACCATCCCCCCGGAAGAGTCGATGGATTCTGGATTGCATGCCGTGTAAGTGTCTGAAGCAATGAGATCGCCCTCCACCTACTCAATACAGGTACATTTTTGAACAGTAACTCCTGGGCACATCTTCGGAAAGTACGGTTGACCAGTGAAAGTGGCAGGAGATGATTGGATGGAATAGCTACAGCGCGAGATTAAACACAAAGTCAGTAGATCTACCTAGCCAAAGTGTTGCCTATGTTACTCACCACCCGGCCACGAAGCATGGGGCTGTAAAGCTGCAGCAGCTCGAAAGTGACGAGGAAGGGTCCGAGGAGTAGGATTACGACTAAATCGCTCTAGATGAGGCCTCGGTTTTGATTTGATTGGCCCGATTCCGTTGTGATCGAGCAGACGATAGTGATCAGCATCGATGGAGTCATCAGGACCCTGGTCATCGCGAACAAGGATATACTCTATTATTTGGTAGACTAGTTCGCTAGGCAAGTCGCTTAATTTCGCCATTGCAATGATATAGAAGGATTGAAATTTATGGAGTGTCTTTCTGCTGCTGAAGTGAAACTCTCTGTGAAGAATTAATTGAGACCAGAGGGCGATATAACTAGCCACTGCTTGTAAATAAATACGCAAATATCCAAATGTTTAGGGGGGGGGGGGGGAGGCAGGCGTTGGGGTTGGGGTTGTTTCGCGCCAAGGAGGAGACTTATGCTTAGCTAGATTGGAATTTGAATGAGCATATCGCCGACAACAATCGGCGCGAACCAGCCGATGACGCAGCGCCGACAGGCCGTTCCGGATGTTTGCTGCCTGTTGCCCCAGGCCCGATACGGGCTTGGTGGTCGAGTGCGGGCAGAAATCCAAAGCTGGATTCTGCGAGTTATCTAGTGAGATCATCATGAGGGCAGTGAAGGACGGCAGTATCAAGTTATTTGCTTGAGTCGGCAGAAGAGCTGGTCAATCTTAACATCCCTCAGCCCAAGCAGAGCGAGGAGGAAGTGGAAAGTGTAACGGGGTCACACGTCACAACCCCTCAAGGACGAC